GAAGGAAGGAAGGAAGGAAGGAAGGAAGGAAGGAAGGAAGGAAGGAGTACAGAAACCATGCTTCTTACACTGAAGCCTCTCATGAATCCTGTCCTAATTCACAGCTGCTTTGCAAAACAACCCTTTTGAAGGAATTGCCCGCTTGTCAGGTTTGATGCCATCCTAGAAATGAAATACTGAATCCCTAAAGTGATGTGCTCTATTTCTACTGTAAAATCTTTAGGCTAATGTGCTTTTACTGGCTGGAGGCTCCAAGGCAGGATGCTCATTCCTGCCACACGAAGATGTGCTTCACCCAAAAGACAACAGCCCAACATGGCTGATGATGAGGGGGGTGAAAAAAGAGGAAGGCAGGCCACCAACTCTGAAGGAAAGCAAAACCTGACGAGAAAGAGAAGCTCAAATATTATTGCATAATTTTCTTGAAAGCATTAAAATTCATTTGCACAGAGCGCCTGGCCCAACGGTTGATCCTGCCCGCTAATTTACTTTTCTGCTTCAGAATGTGGCAAAAGACCCCAAAACACCTATATTTCGCTTTAAAAAGAAAAGGGAAACAATCCATCCGCTGAATTGGATCAGGAGTAGCTGCAGGCCTCCGTGTGGACTCTTAAAACCCCTCTGCTGTGCAGACGGAGGAAGTTGAACATCTCTGAAGGCATGGCATGAAATCCGGGCCGAGGTTTGACGTTGTCGTAATAATGATGAGTTATAAATATCCCTGAGGGGTTCATGGGGAAACCCCAAAACCCGAAGAGGTGCACCTCTTCACACAGCTCCAAGGCGGCCGTCACAAGTATCAGCCCCGTGGTGATGCGCTTCGCCCGCACCCCTTGAGTCAACCAGTAGCGGGAAACGTTCGTGAGATATTTGGGGTGGAAAAAGTAGACGGCCTTCCTGGATTGGAAGTCATCCAGGACGTACCTGACCCTGAGGGAGACGTCGGTGTTGTGGGTGTTGTAGAAGGCGGGAAGCAACACGGAGGCGTTTTCGTACGCTTTCAGCACTTGGTAAAAAGGCCTCCTCCATTTCTCCAGCCTCTGGAACCTGGTATAATTTGCAAGAGGGAGCACAAGAAGAGTAAACACAGAGTAAAGTACTGAGCAATCTAATATGACCTTTAAAATTCTCCTCGGATTAAAAAAAAAAAGCACGTTACAATTAAGAGTTTTAGGGTGGACTCCTTGGAATCTGTGAGACACAAACTCCTCATGGAAATGTCAACTGTCTCTAAGGTATGGAAAAAGGAATGAAAATCAGAAATTGTGGTTTTTGTCAAATGGCAGGGACGTTTTTTTTCCCTTTTAAGATCCAACTCTGGAACCCCCCGAGCCCTCTGGAGATTGAAGGGTTGGCTTCTGAGTCGAGTTTTCAGTTCCAGACACTATAAAATCAGGAATAAATGCTAAATAAATCTCCTTACTGTTCTCCTATAGTTCAAAATGTAGAGGAGGATGCAAAACAGAACAGATGAAGCCATCTTAAGGCAGGAGGATGGAAGGGAGGGAGGGAGGGAGAAAAAAAGAAAGAGGGAGAGAAAGGAAAGGAAGGAAGGAAGGAAGGAAGGAAGGAAGGAAGGAAGGAAGGAAGGAAGGAAGGAAGGAAGGAAGGCCAAGGGAAGGAAGGAAATTAGGAAGGAAAATAAAAGAAAGAGGGAGGGAGAAAGGGAGGGAAGGAAGGAAGGAAGGAAGGAAGGAAGGAAGGAAGGAAGGAAAGAAGGAAGGAAGGAAGGAAGGAAGCCAAGGAAAGGAGGGAAGGAAAATAGGAAGGAAAATAAAAGAAAGAGGGAGGGAGCAAGGGAGGGAAGAAAAAAATGCCAGGGAAAGGAAGGGAGGAAAATAGGAAGGAAAATAAAAGAAAGAGGGAGGGAGAAAGGAAGGAAGGAAGGAAGGAAGGAAGGAAGGAAGGAAGGAAGGAAGGAAGGAAGGAAGGAAGGAAGGAAAGCCAAAGAAAGGAAGGAAGGAAATTAGGAAGGAAAATAAAAGAAAGAGGGAGGGAAGGAGGGAGGGAGGAAAACCAAGGAAAGGAAGATAAAAATAAAAGAAGCAAAATTAGGGCGGGAGGGAATGAGGGAGAGAGGAAAGAAAAGCAAGGGAAAGAGAGAATACCCAAAGAGAAAAGAGAACACGCGTGGGCCGAAGTCCACATGCCTCCTTTCAATTGCAGGCATTTCCCCTGATGACAAGGAGGCTCCGATGACTCTCATTTCCAGTTGCTATGAAATTACACCGTCCAGAGCCACCGAGTGCCAGAGCAAATCGGAAGACACGGCTCCTTCTTTCTCACGCAGGTGAATTTCCCAGAGGCTCAGGAGGGAAAAAGAGGCTGGGAAACCACTGACCTTTCCATGATTATGCTGGGATTGACTGTCACGACATTAGTCTTTACGCCAACATCTGCCACATATTTCCTCGATATGGGAGGCAAATTGCATCTGTAGGAGAAAAAGGAGCCCCGGAAAAGATCGCAGGGTTATTTTATTTTATTTTAATTGTAACCCTCTCCTCCCTCTCCCTCCCCCATCCATCCCAAACGTCATTTTACACAGTGCCAAAAACAGCCAACCCAGCAAAGCCAGCTGGGGACTCTGCAGCCTTTGGGTTTTGAGCCAGGGTCTTCAAACTTGGCAAGTTTAAGACTTGTGGACTTCAACCCCCAGAATTCCTGAGCTACCATGACTGGAGGAGGAATTCTGGGAGTTGAAGTCCACAAGTCTTAAAGCTGCCATGTTTGAAGACCCCTAGCTGGATCTTGACTAGCTGGATACCCGGCGTGCTTTGCTCTGAAACTATGTGGTCGGGCTCGGTTTTTGGGGAGGAAAATAAGGGGGAGAAATTCTGCCTCTGCCTACCAGCATCCATCGGTATTCATCTGGCTAGCGTCCTGTCAGTGTGTGACAACATTGTGGGCTGTTTGGAAACTGAAACAGTATTTGCTATGTGAGCAAGGAGGAGACAGCAAGGAGCCTGGGCGTGGCTTAGCTCAGCTGTTCTGTACTAAAGCTGCTTGCTGATGTGAAACTAAAACTGAAACTCCTCTCCTTGTGTTTTGCATTTGGAAGAGATTTCTTTTCAGGTGGGGAGGGGGAGTAGAACTCCTTAGCATCAGAGCATGTTAATAATAATAATATAGGAAATATTAAATGTTCTGATGGTCATTTAGAAAAATCCTTTCTTAGTGAGCACCTGGAAGCCAAGAGGAACATAGATGCCAAATTTCAAGTTTGTAGGCTTTACGGTTCTGGAGATTTTGTGATGATGCGTGAATGGTATTTTGCTTTTATATATATAGATTTCAATTTAGAAGTGGCCCAACTATAGACAATTCTGGGCAGCTTATATTTTAAATTGTATGGAACAACAAAATAGGAGTGGAAACCTGAATTGTATCTTCTGGGGATAATTAAACGGGAATATCCTCTCAAAGTAAGGTACCTGATCATTTTATACTAACAGCGGCACAAATCTCACTGGCACAATATTGGAAAATGCCCATTTTACCACCTATACATATTATTATTCAGAAGATCTGTGAATGTGCCGAAATGGAAAGGCTCACACTAAAACTAAAAGGAAAAGATGATTCTGAATTTTATTCGATTTGGGATAAATGGTACAACTGGATAGACCGTAAGAAAAAGAATGTATAAAATAAACGAACATAGGAAACGTATTATTACATATATATCTAATTGATAGGAATTTGTAAAATATTAGTTTTATTTCTTTTTCATTGAATAAACATTATAAAGGACTCATTTACAAAATAACAGAGTTATAATCCAATAATAACCATAGACAATTAGATAATATATAATATAGATAGTATTTAGTTTATAAGGGATGAGGAATATTTGCCATTCAGTACCTGTTATGAGTTACTTAAATCACTATCAAATGTATTAGAGAGAAATATGAATTGTACTGATGTCTATGTATGACTATTACATCTTAATGCCTGTATATTTGTATATTTTAATCTTTTGTACTAAATAAAGTATTTTTTTAAAAGAAAATAAAAAAGGAACAACAAAATAGAAGAAGAAGAAACGAATAATCAGAAAAAAGACATAAAATACACACATACACATACACAATGGAAGTTCAACAGCCACCCTATCCTCAGGCCTGGAATAGCCAGATGTTCAAAATTTTAATCTTTCCTAAGTGTCTATGAAATTCAAAGGGAGTTGGATTTAGTTCGCTTGCGGCTATGATTCTAGGCTAGTGCCTCTTTTGACTCCTTCTGCAGGTTCTGCTACTCTTCCTATACTAATACATTCATTTGATTCTGCAGGGCAGTGCCATCTTTCTCTCTTTAACTTTTTCTTCTTCTTCTTTTTCCAAAGAAAGAAAGAAAGAGAAAGAGCAATAGGAAAAAATGAACGTTTTCCAAAAAGCAGGCACTCTGTGGACTTCTTCCAAACCCTGAATGAGACACACAATTATATAAGGAATGTCTAATTGGGAGCATTTTTAGCTTTTAGCCTGTGAGCAAGATCCACATGGAAACTAAGCTGCTACTACCAGGGTCCCCCTCAGAATATCTAAATAAATTTCAGTTAAATCCCAAATCTACAGTATCTATTTTCCTTAGATTGTTAAATACCTCCAATTACTGACGTTGCCTTGGAAAATTGAATTAGTATTTCGGATAAAATGATCGCAAGATTACTTGAGATTATTTTTTTCCTTCTTCGTGATTATAAGTTCCTTATCTCATCCCTTTCAACCACATGGTTTGAACTGTCTTTCTAGCCCATTCTGCAAGTCTGCTTTTTATTTTATCCTCAAAGAACAGCTGGAAGCTGAATTTGTAATCAAGGCAAGGGAAGATTTGCAGAAACCAAAGTACAAGATATAATTAGGAATCCTTAATTTGTCACTCATCTCCAATGCAGTACAGGGTTTTCTTCTTTATTTCATTTTATGATGAAGAATGCATTTTACCGCTTTGGTCTAGTTGTTAAGTAACCATGCTAGAAAGCAAGGGACTCTGAGTTCAAGTCCTGCCTTAGCCATGAAAACAGGCTGGGTGACTTTGGGCCAATCATTAAGCAACAGTGAATTCTAGTCCCATTTTAGTCTTAAAAGTCAGCTGAGTGATCTTGGGCCAGTCACTTTCTCTCGACCCAACCCACCTTACAGAGTTGTTGTAATCGGGAAAATAGGAGGAGGAAGGGATGTTAAAAATAGGAGGAGGAAAGGATGAACCACAGTGGCACAGTGGTTAAAGTGCAGTACTGCAGGCTACTTCTGCTGCCTGCTGGCTGCCTGCAATTTGGCAGTTCAACTCCCACCAGGCTCAAGGTTGACTCAGCCTTCCGAGGTTGATAAAATGAGGGCCCAGATTATTGGGGTCAATAGGCTGACTCTATAAACTGTTTAGAGAGGGCTGCAAAACACTGTAAAGCAATATATAAGTCTAAGTGCTAGTGCTATGTTGGATATGTTCGCCATCTTAGCAATTTTTAAAATAATAAAGGCGGGATATAAGTAAATGTAGTGTTTGCACACCAGTACAACCTGTGCAGAGTTGAATACCCCTCTAACGTGGAAGTGTTGGCAGGATTCCCTATGATATTTATGTCAAAAATTGAATAAAATCTGGGTTTTAAGAGGTTGTTTTTGGCAGTTTTTTAGCTGGTTGCTAGTCACAATTGCAAAGAATTGTCCATTTGTATGATGAATCTAGCGTTGCTTGGAAGATGACGTACAGAGTTTATCCATCCTGAACTAGAAGATGCAGCTAATACTGTATCACAGAAGATAGAAACAAGATTCAGAATATTGGATGGAAAAATAGCCCAACTGCCACCGTCTGTGAGACTAGGATGAAGCTGCCGTGCCTAAAGATGAAGTAGACACTGTCAGAGTATATTCATTAACTGGCAGAGACATGGTTAACAAAGTAAGCATGGCAACAGACTAGCCAATGGGAGCTGACAGCCTGGGTGTGGTTTGGCTCTGTGCGCTTTGCCGAGAATTGAAAGTGAAACTAACTTGCCTGCCATCTAAACGGAAAGTGTTCTGTTCTGAGCCTTCTGAGCTGCTGCTTGTGTTTTTGCTTACGCCATGTTGCAAGAATCTACGAATGGTATTATAAACTTTACTCATGCTAATATGTTTATAAAGAAGTTAATGATCCTGCTGAATCAGTCATCTGTGTGTTTTCTGGACTTGAATTTCTGCTGCAAACTCTTAACAGACACCTAAGGATGGACAAATCCCCGGAATCTGATCTAAAAGATCCCTGTGGGAAGTAGGTAAAGAGGAACTGAATAATTAAGGAAGCAAAGGACAAATGTCACTTGAAATCAAACAGAAGAATTTGGGCCAAAGCACATGGGAAATCCCTCAAAGCGCGTGATCACTGAACCGGTTGTTATACCAGTGGAATCCCATCCCTGCTCCAAGATCTCTTCCAACTCTGTTATTCTGTTATATACGGAACACATACTATACAAAGTATAGTTCAATGCATGAAATGATGATAGAATTCTTTATTCTTTATTGGACAAGTGTGATTGGACACACAAGGAATTTGTCTTGGTGCAAATGCTCTCAGAGTACATAAAATAAAAGATAACATTCGTCAAGAGTCCAGAATCATCAGGTACAACACTTAATAAAAGTCATAGGGGACAATAAGCAATCCAATCATACTAGAAAATAGTCGAACTAATAAGGGTCAGTATTGACCAAGTCAGTAAATTCATCAATTCAAATATAATCTCCCAAATTATTTTAGAATGGGGGGATTCCTTGAACTTTTGTTCACTTGTCCACTCTTGTTTATAGGCCGCTGACCTCAGTAGAACAAAACCAATGAACACAAAATAAATGGATCTGATAGGAGAGGGACACAGAGAGAAGGGGGATTAAATTAACATTCTGTCCTGGCTTCTCAACCCTGCTGTGATCCATGGCTTCATAATGCTGAGACAATAGTCAACCGTTGGATCAATTCAACTAAACAAGTTACGTCCCTCTGGTGTAACTTGGCTGTGTTTTGGAGAAAATAAGGGGAAAAAATTATTTTGCCTGCAGGCCACAGCTTCAAACATCACCAGCAAAAATGACTTGAAATGGATCCAAGAATCAATTTTATCTTAAGTTAGCAGAATCAGAAATGATTTCCTGTCTTTTCTTCTTTAATTGTGTCTTAAATCTCTACATTAACAATCTTGGAAGAACTTGGGGCTGTTTTGGAGACATAAAGCTAATGATATTTTTTCTAAAAATAATTGAAAGTCATTGTATACACTTTAATTTTTTTTTCCAGTTATGAATTGTTTATCAAGAGGCTAAAGGCAGAAAAGCAGAAAAGCAATAAACCTTTAAATTTGTGGGGTTTTATTTTAATGGTTGGGTTGAGATCATCTACTATTGCTATTTACTGTTGTTTTTTCTGTTATTTTGCCTTTAAAGAGCTAATCAATTTGCAGGTATAAAGTTGTCCATTATTTTCCACAATTTAATAGTCAAAAACATTGACATAAGCATGTAAATTCATCTTATCATCTCTGACTTTTGAAAAAAAAAATTGATTGCCATAGGCCTTTAAAGGTAAAGGTTTCCCTCACACATACATGCTAGTCATTTCCGGCTCTAGGGGGCGGTGCTCATCTCCGTTACAAAGCCGAAGAGCCAGCGCTGTCCGAAGACGTCTCCGAGGTCATGTGGCCGGCATGACTAAACGCTGTTAAGGCGCACGGAATGCTGTTGCCTTCCCAGCAAGGGGGTCCCTATTTTTCTATTTGCATTTTTAACATGCTTTCGAACTGCTAGGTTGGCGGAAGCTGGGACAAGGAAAGGGAGCTCACTCCGTTATGCGGCGCTAGGGATTCGAACTGCCGAACAGCCAGCCTTTCTGATCGACAAGCTCAGCATCTTAGCCACTGAGCCGCTTCATCCCTTAAAGAGCCCTAGTCCTTATGAATTCATTTCCAGTTGCTTCTGTATAGGAGCTTAGTAAATGAAGTGTGGAGGAAAAAAAAACCCTGAAAAGTGATCTATATCTTCATTAGCAATTTAGCAGCATTAGCAACACAATCACTGTATATAAAAATAGAATAGAATGGAATAGAATACTTTATTGGCCAAGTGTGATAGGACCAATGGTAGGATTCAAATTTTTTTACTACCGGTTCTGTGGGCGTGGCTTGGTGGGCGTGGCAGGGGAAGGATACTGTAAAATCTCCAGTCAGAGGTGGTATTTGCCAGTTCTCCAAACTACTCAAAATTTCCACTACCAGTTCTCCAGAATTGGTCAGAACCTGCTGAATACCCACCTCTGCATTGGACACACAAGGAATTTGTCTTCGGTGCATAAGCTCTCAGTGTGCATAAAAAATACATTCATGAAGAATTGTAAGATACAACACTTAGTGATAGTCATAGGATACTAAATGAGTAATCAAATCATACTAGGAAACTAAATAAAACAATATAAATGTAAAGATACAAGCAACAAGGTTATTGTCATAAGTAGAAAAGGTAATAGGTAATAGGAAGGATGAGAAGAAGAATAGTAGCACAGCCTTAGTAAATGGTTTGACAGTGTTGGGGGAATTAGTTGTTTAGCAGGGTGATGGTATGCCAGGAAAAACTGTCCTTGTGTCTAGTTGCTCTGATGTGTAATGCCCTATAACATCGTTTTGAGGGTAGAAAATGCAAAGGATATCATGCTAGACAATTACCGTAAGACAAAATCGGCACCATCGATCTCCTGGCCACATCCGCTGTTCTTCAAAATTCCTCCGTTTCCAACCACTGCACATTTCTTAAACTGGGAACGGGAATAGGGCATCTCCTGGAGCAAAGCAGAAGCCGAAAAATGGGACCAATTCTGGGAAAAGTTGCACACGTTTATCCCAAAGGTGCTGTGATGACCCGTGGCACGGCACAAAGGCAACACAGTCCAATAAGCAATAAGAGTCCCTTTATTATCTCCAACTTTGCCCCCAATGTCCAGGTTACTTTCGGCTGGAGAAAAACTCTCCCAGGAACAGCCTTTAACTGTAGAAAATTCAGTCCAAAACAAGGTACACACAAACTGTAACTTAAAATCCAAACAAACCAAACTGAAGTGATGAGCTTGACAGGGCAGGAGAAGGAATTTCAGACTTGAAAGCATGGCAAAACTCACACAGTTGGGAAGACACCAGGAGGACAGATAAGCATCCACAATACAAGATAAATTCACGTTTGCTCCCAACAGCTTGCTGCACGCAGCTTCCCTTTTATATAAACTATGTTCCCAGCTGCAGCTAATGAAGGGAATCAGGGCCCTTTCCTCCCCCATAAGCCACTCAACTCATGTTTCTCTCTTCTCCGTTCCTCCGCAGGGAGGAATGGAGAAGGGAGCAATGTGGCTTATGGGAGAGAAAAAGGCCCTGATCCCTTTCATTAGTTGCAGCTGGGAGAACAGGATATAAGAAGGGCATTTGCACACAGCCCCTTGCTGGAAGCAAAGCGTGCATTATCTTTGTCAAGGCTTATCTGGGTTTTGGCGGCCTCCCAACTGTGTGTGCTTCGTTATCTTTTGGAAGTCTGTAATTTATTATCCTGGCCTGTCGTATTAATTACTTCAGCATGGTTTGTGTTGGTTTTTTTTTAATTTCTAAATTATCGGTATTTGGGTTAGGGCTGCATTTCTTCCCTTTGTAGACTGTTTTTTGGAAAAGTTTGGTCTCCAGCCCAGGATAACTGGACATTGGGGGCCAAGTTGGAGGTATTAAAGGGAATTTATTCTGCTTTGGTGACTTTGTTATTTTTGTGCCACGCGCCAGGTCATCACACTTTGTCATCCTGTCTTGCTTTCCAAGGCTGAGCTGACAGTCTCTCTGCAACCTTGTCCAAGAAGATCTGTATGTTCCTTTGCCACCAGGACTGCTTAAGTGGAAAAATTCAGTCCTTTGTTAATACAGAATATCTGCCAGGGATGTGAGCCAGCTCTTTGAAGCTTTCAGTTGGATGAGACCATATATGTATGCTCCCAAGAGAGAAGTCCACATCTGATCAGCTGCATGTAACATCAGCAAGGTAGACTGGCTTCTATTGACTGTTTGACATATTTGATGTATTTTCTTTGGTGTCGTTCTTTATTGAACTTTTATTGGAAACCATCCCTGGCTGTCTCTTCTGGCAGCACATCAGACAGAGAAGTGCATCTGAAAAAGGAGAAGGCTTCAAAAATTTTAGCAAAGGGTTTTCTGCCCAGTGGCTGTGTGGGCGTGGCCATGGTGGGCGTGGCCTAGTCAGCTTCCTGCACCACGGGGGGGGGGCGGTGTTTGCCCTCCCCATGCTCCAGAGGCTTTCCTCAAGCCTCTGGGAGGGCAAAAACGGCCTCCCCGGGCTCCGGAGGCTCTCTGGAAGGTGGAAACGAGCCCATTTCCAGCCTTCTCAAACTTCTGGGAAGACCGTTTTTTGCATTCCCTGAGCCCCCCGTGCGCTCCCTGCACTTACCTGCATCCAAAATGGGCTGGGTGGGGATTCCTGGGTGGGGCGGGGTGGGTGGGACCAGCCAGGAGTGGGATTTGGAACTCCAAACTGCACAGAATCTTAGCTAGGGGCTCTCCCGAAACCCTGAAAAGCCCATAGCATCCCAGCCCTGATTCTAAAATAAATCAAAAACCAGGCACCTCTTTTCTGAGGAATCTTGTAGGTGGGGGGGGGGGTCCTTGGTGGTCTCTGAGCTTAGTGCTTCTCTTGCAGGCGTTTCGTTACCAAACCAGGTAACTTCATCAGTGCATTAAGGTAAGTAGCACAAAGGATACTATCTGGTTTGGTAATGAAAGGTCTGGAAGAAATCATCAAGCTCAGAGAGCAAGAAGGACCCCTCATTTCAACTCTGAGCTACAAACATTCTCTTCTATCAGTAATCTTGTAGGTGCTTTCTGCAGCTGCACCACAATCTTAGGAAAAGATGTGGCTTGCCTCTGGAAATTGTGGGTACTCCACAACTGGAGGTTGAGAAGAAATTAGACAACCATTTGTCTGAAATGGGGTGCTAAGGACAGGTTCCACGGAGGGTGGTTTTTCCATGGGCAGGGGTTGTGGTTTCACATGCTGCCTGGATCCCACACATGTGCAAATGGGTCTTGCACAGCCTGGTTGGGCACTCCTGGTCTAGGGTCTCCAAGGGGGTTGGAATAGAAGACCTCCAAGGTCCCTTCCAGCTATGTTGTTGTGTTATTCCAGTTTAAGATGTTGCAGGAATTCCATTAGCAATCCTGCAGATGCCAAACCCTATTTGAGTCTGAAACCAAAATATCCCAAAATACCCTTTTAGTTTTATCGTTTAAATTCCCAATGCAACCTTCCATAACTGACACCTGCCACATGTGTTGAACTGTGATACCTATCAATCATCCAACATCTAATGCCAACTCCAGCCAAGTTGGGAAAAGATGTTTTGAGCCATGACACTCCTTCTGTGGAATGTGTTCTTGAACTCAACTGTCTATCTTAAGAGTCATTCTGATGCCTTATTATTATTTTTTAGGTAGTTACGGTAGGAAACCAATTTGGAGTAACTATTTTTTTTTAAAGAAAATTTAACTATAGGTTTAATAATTTCTAAAAATATTGATTCTAGATTCTGTAAAATAAATTTAAGAGTCCACATGGACTTGAAATAAAATTTTGAAATTAAAATCATAAGAATCCTTCACATGGGAAAACGCTATTGATTTGAATTCTTTTTTAAAAATGATAGAATGGGACTTTGAAACTTGGATACTAGAGGGAGCCAGAAGGAATTACAGTATAGACCAGTGGTCTCCAACCTTGGCAACTTTAAGCCTGGCGGACTTCAACTCCCAGAATTCCCCAGCCAGCTTTGCTGTTTTGTATGCTGGTTGTAAGCTGGCTGTAAGCTGTAAACTGGCTGGGGAATTCTGGGAGTTGAAGTCCCCCAAGCTTAAAGTTGCCAAGTTTGGAGACCCCTGGTGTAGACCACAGTTAAAAGATCCCAACCAAAGTTGATTTACTGATACAGAATGAAGCAAAATACTTTAACATTGGATATATTGACAAATATTTGTGAACCATAGATCCAGAAGTTAATTTTAAAGAGTGCCTGCTATTCTATTCTGGCTGTGTATAAAAGAAGAATAAGCTTTTGTCAGACAGGATTAATACTGAACTGGAAGTAGATTTAAAAGTGATAGAGTACAACAGTTATATGGAAAAGGCTATTATACCAGCTGGTATCTTAATAATTAAAAGGAATATACAAATAAATTAAAGAATAACCTAGATAACAAGTTCATGTTTAAAGGCTTAAAAAACTTAACATAATTCAGAGCACTGTGTGAGTGCAGCCACTGCTCAAGAAAGCTGGAATTTAAACATTTTAAAAACCTATAATGTAACAGCCAGTATGAAACCTGCTCGGATTGCATGCATTCAGGTAAACCTATCTAGAATTTTTTAATTAGCTATTCAGGTGAATTGGGAACTGTCAGGTCAACAGAACTGAACGGAACTGAATTGAATAACCTTCAATGTCATTTCCCTGATTTTGTACACAGACCTGAGAGGTCGATGGCATTAAAAGGGAAATTTATAAGTCATTTGCTAAATATAACAAAATGGAGCCTCTGCAGTAAGAAAGAAAAAGACAACAAACTTACAGGATTAAGATTTCATCTCTGCTGCATTTGATGTCACAATACTGGAAAAATAATTGCCTGTGACCTTGGTGGTTGATGATATCAGATTAAGAAG